TTTTTTTTTTTTTTTTTTTTTTTTTTTATCGAATTAATTAAACTCGTAACTCGGAGTCGTTCGTAAAAATGTAAAAGCGTGACGAACGAAGAGAGGCACGAGAGGCCGAGCGAGTACTACTGACGCGACGTCGACGCTCGGCGTCGCGACGCCCGTGCCCCACTAACCCGCATTTCGCGCACGAGGCTACCCTTGGCAATACTTTCCCTGACTATGTCACGCGACTATCACGCGCCTGTGCGAAGAAGAAGGGTTGTCGACGTGGGTGCAGGGTGCGGGAGGAGAACAACCCCGTGGCGCCTCTGCTAATAAATCTTATCCTCGTCAGGGTCGCGGTCCGTGTAAATCAATGCCAAAATAGGCTGGAATATGGTCACGATAAGCTAAATATAACATAGCCAGAGTTAAAAATATACAAGTGCACAGTTCGTTTCAAGAGATACTCGAATGAAAAACTGTCGATATTTCAAATCCTTATGACTTCGTATCTAGATTCTACTTTGAGGGATATGAGCGCATGTATGCGCTTGGAAAAAGCTTCGAAGGAGAGACTTTGATCTTCAGTGCCCACAAAGTCGTTCCTTCTTTCTTGTAAAATTTTCGCCAACGATTGAAACTTCACACAACAGAAGTCAGAGAATCAAAATTCCAATGAATCGAGTCGTGATAAAAGGAACTTCAAACGTCGTTATTTCGTACCGAAATGGTGGCCGTTGTTACCCGCTTCTCGAGTGGCGAGAGCATCACAGCGGCATCGATGAATGGAATAGAGCTGAAATAAATCGATCCTGGTGCCCGATGTACGATTCGGCCGAACCTCCGCGTCGGAATACGATGTACATGATTCGCGGCGCTTGTTTATTCGCTCGATTTCCAGCCGTATCATTCATCAGATTCGCAGAACTTGAGGATTCGAAGGCACCCCGCTGAGGTCGACGGAGGTAGGATCTACGGATTCTGTCTGATATTATCCGGTGATGTGTGCGAAGGTGGAGCTTGCCACTCTCGTTACGATTCGCGTCCCGAGCATCGATCTGTGCTCGCGCAGGCTGTGTGAAATTTTTTTTCGCGTCGTATTGTCCTCGGGCAGCCCGCTTTCGTGGAGTTTCTCCGATGTAGGTGAAGCTTCTCCTCGCTGGCGATATTTAATGTCACAGGCGAATGTACGATATTATTTTCTGTTGCGATGCCACGAGCTGATGTGCCTTTAACAGCACGGTTAATGCAGAATGCTGTGTATGTAGATGTTGCTGACGTGAGAACATCGTCAGAAACGGATTTCTAGTGGAAGGAAAAAATTGGTAAATTTAATTACGTTGCGTACATAATCTATTATTATACAGGTTGATATTTTATATTGTTATACTTATATATTATTTTGTATTATTATTATGTTATATATTGTTATTATAAGAACGATGTTTAGAGAGACGAATATTTTGCTGCCATTTTGCACGACGAATTGTCATTGAAGCGTCGTGTTAAATCGATAAAATTACAGAAGAAAACCGAGCCAGCGAGATCTCCACGATCTATCGAACTAGAATTCGAAAGTGAATAGTTGCACAATCGACCCGCGAACGTGTGCAGCTTGTATACGCACGCTTAATTCGCGCATCGCCGATCACTTATATAAGGAACTCGGACGTATTTGACGAACGAGAATTAGAAGAAGATGAACAAAAACACAAAAGTCTATTGTTAATTTATTCTTTACATTTAACCGAATGAATAAGTTTCCGAGTGATTAGATACTTGTCCAATTTTGCCATGTAACAAAGATAAAATGTTCATAACAAATTAAAATTAAAACTAACAGCGCTATGCTAAAAAGGAAAGTAACTAAAAGTAACAGAAAAATACTAAAGATACCAAGTAAATAATAATATTGAAAACACTAAAATTAATTCTAATATTTAGAAAAATATTAATAGTTGAAATTTTTATCTCCTTTTGTATACTTTAAAAATATCCTTATTTTATGTTGTTCGCATTTTGTTTTAACGTTATTATTCCTAATAATATTATATTTTATTTAATATTTTTCAATCGATCATCTATCGTGACAAGCTAGTTGTTGAATTAACGATTTACTGGCATTGTTGGCAGACGCGTTCAGGTTAAACCAGCGATATGATCGTACGTGGGAAAGCGAGCGAAAGGTATTCGTAGAACACGTTGTTAATTTACATGTCAATCGCGAAAGAATCATGTTTAACTATATACAGCGAAATATTCTGACGAATACGACGTTTACGACAGAGCAGTACCAGTGTGAAAACGATATAAACGGAAAAGAGAGAGATTTTCAAAATGAGAATCAAGGAATGAAATGTGTAAAAAGTTTTTTTGCGCGAATGCAAAAAACATTACGGATGCGCGACAGGAATTTTTCGAATTTTTCTAAAAATTAGAAAATTATCTGAGAATCTGGAGGTCCGACAATTTCAAAAGTCCGAAGGTTCGATCGTTTGAAAATCCAAAGATCAAGAAAATTTGAAAAATCTGTTAGGTCGAAGGCGGAAATTCTAAAAACTCAGCAATCCGAAGGATCTGAAAATTTGGAAATCTGAAGATCTCAAGATTGAAAAAACTGGAAGATCTAAAAAAAATTTGATAACTCGAGAAACCTGTGAATCTTCAGATCAGACAATTTGGACAATCCGAAGATCCGATGGTTTTTGAAGAAAATCCGAGATTTAAAAAAAACGAAACGCCGCGTTGACGTAAATGTCGCTCCTTGGTAGATTCAGTAGAATTCAATGGATTTACACAACCTATCCTCGACGTCTACCGAAGTCACTGGCCGATTTCCAGCTTTCTCTACTTTCTAAGTTAATAACGATAATAGGATAGGGAACGTTTGAATCGCATCGGGAAGTAAACCAACGAATAGCAAGATATCATCGCGTTAAAATCTTGATCAAACACTTGGAATAATCGACGTTGCGAAATGGCACGAATTTCAGTGGTCGTAGGCGTTTTCATATTTGTCGATTGCGTTTAAACGGTTCGGCCCTGATGAAATTGACCATAAAACACGCAAGGATTTAACACCGTAGGGAGCATCTGTGTCTGATGCACGTTCAACATGGGGGGAAATCCATTACATAGGAACAATTAGTAACGGATCGGTATGCTGTCGAGAAACACTACGTGTTGCCGATTTCAATGTAATCGTGCGCGGTTAGTTCATTAAATACCAATGAACTAAATGCTCTATGGTAATTAATCACGCATCGATGCTCACAGGGTAACCGATCGGCGATATCGTTAGAGAATAGGCGAACGTAGGAGAAAGATGTCGGCCGTGAGCGTGATCCGAAGATGTTCGCGTAAAGTCGCTTTCGTGGCGAACGTGTCTCGAATATAGGCTGATCACGTATGTGTTTCGTACAGGCTCATGTACAGTGATTTGTAAAAACATGATTTGTACATCATTTGTTGCAGAAGATTTTTATATTGTGCAGAGTGGAACATTGTTCATAATGAATTTATTTGAACGAAATTTTAGATAGCGTTCGATTAAATGAACTTGCATTGGTTGAATCCACTTATCTGAACATGATAACATGGATTTTATCATACATGATAACAAAGATCATTTTATGCTTCTACCGCGTGAGCTCCGATTGTAGAGTTGGCTCCTGGCAATTTCATTTCGAAATGGCAATCTATGATACGTACCTATGATAATCGTGATAATGTAGTTAGATCTCGCTGCAGTGTTGATGAAATGTCAAAATGTATTCGATTTTTATATATTTTGTGTGACAAATTTTCCAGTACCTTCGTGAACAACAACGTGATTTAATTAAAAGTAAAATCGAGAAACTAAAGTCAAGAAACAAGCCTGTTTTCTCAACTCTTTCGCAAGCAAGCCGTTTAAAATCCTGGCCAACTCGGAACCTTCGAAGCCGCGGTGAACCAAGCGACCGACATTGAACGTAAGGGAATTGCTCCCCTCGTGGTCTCTCGGAACAAATTAATTTGCGAGCGCAAACACTGACGCAAGCGCGTTCCTCTGACCGTCATTCACGAGCTCCGCTGATGACAGAAGGACGGACAGAGCCCATTGAGCCTCTACCGGGAAACCATTCTCAAACATTTGGTTTGACACTGGTGCGACGTTTTTCACGTCTCACCATAATGGCCGCTTTCGCTCATTAGGGAGACAGGTTAAAACCTCGATCGTTGCCACCGGTTGGCAAACCATCTCGCCGAGGCTGATAAAACCACTGTGCCAGTTAACGCAGCTGTGAAAAGCTGCTTCTTTCGTGTTGTTGCTCACGGTTTGCTCGTGCTTTGTGACTCGGTTGTTGGACAACTACCAAGCGTACGCCAGTGGTCGATCAAAGACGCGTTCTCTCGAACATGCGCCTCTTATCGAGC